AGGAGCTCTTGCAATCTACCAGCGCCCGGGCCAGGGGCGAACACCGAGTCGTTTCCACGCACCGAGCACGGGTCTGCACCGCCTTCTGAGCTTCCAATACACCATGCCCCTGGTGAAAATCGCCCTGTTCGGCCAAGCAACTCCTTATCTATCTTGTCCAAGACTGGATCGTCCTTGGCGAACTTTCGAGCGAACGGGGCGCTGCTATTCACCATTTTATTGAAGTCCTTCATTGTCAAAGAGAGTGGATGCTGCTTTGGAGGATTGTCCCAAGCAATGTAATGGAGGTCGTGGCTAACCGCGGTGTGGCGAAAGTCGTTGTTGTTGCAGATTACTGTGTGGAAGTAGCCCTCGGGCGATGAGAGAAAATTTGTGTAGTACATTAGGATGGTTCTTGGGAGATTATCCCATCCCCATATGCAATACTCGACGAACGATCGTGTCAGCATTACCCATGCCGAACCTACAAACACGAAACATTGCACAAGTTTCAACATAAGAATTATTTGAATGGATCCTAAGTAAGGCTACTTAAGAGAAGGACAATCCAAAATACTCGTCCAAACCGACATCTAAAGCTCCTTTCCTAAGCCAGTGCGCACGAGAAGATACATAACGGGCCAAAGCGAACAATATTTGCTAGCGGTGGGTTTGGGCTGTTACAGATGGTATTAGAGCCCGGCACCGAACGGTGTGCTATGGAGGACACAGGGACCCCAAGAGGGTGGATTGTGAGATCTCACATTGGTTGGAGAGGGGAACGGGAATAAGGGTGTGGAAACCTTTTTCTAATAGACGCGTTTTAAAACCGTGAGGTTAACGACAATATGTAATGGACCAAAGCGGACAGTATCTGCTAACGGTGGGTTTGGGTTGTTACAAATGGTATTAGATCCCGACACCGAATGGTGTGCTATGGAGGACACAGGGTCCCCAAGAGGGTGAATTGTGAGATCTCACATTGGTTGGAGAGAGGAACGAAACATTCCTCATAAGGGTGTGGAAACCCTTCCCTAATAGACACGTTTTAAACCGTGAGGCTGATGGCGATACATAACGGGCCAAAGCGGATAATATCTGCTAGCGGTAAGTTTGGTTCATAACTAGTTATCCAACTTAACCAAAGAATTACCTTCTAAACATGGAAAAAGTAACCAAATGCACCAACATTCAGACTAGTACAAGAAAGAAATCGAAACGATACCGACCTGTAAACAACTTGAAGGACGTGGGAAGCGAGCGTCGTTGAGTCGTCCAAGAAAGATCAGATTTTTTGGACAAGTAAAGACCTGGATCAACGATGATCGGTTTCGCACGGTGACTCCTGAAATGATGGATCAAGATGTTTATCATAACACAAAAACACCTGTGATTACAAGATCAAAACAAAATGTCAAGACATTAACCATTACATACAATTTCCACCCAGCGATCATCGGTGAATGCTCGATAAAATTGAACTTTCGAGTCAAGTTCGAGAACACATGAAGCAAATCTGCAGATTAAAAACACAATTCAATCACAGGACAACATAAATTCATCACAGAACTAATGAGTACTAACCATCTTGTGTCATCAATGGATAATCAGAAGCACTCAAGTTTATAAACCAATCCCAATCCCGACTCTCCCTTAACAAAATCGCGATCGCTTGAAGCGTGCAAGCAATCATCGTAGGACCTTTATAAGTAACCAAATTGGACTGAGCCATAACTCGCACATTCTCAACCTCATTGAACGTTGGATCAGCCTTCACAAGATTCGTAAGTTCTAATCTTTCACGAGGCGGAGCCTCGAGATCCATATGCAGAACATATTGATTTCTTGGGTGATATACAGCCTGCAAGGTCCTCATCATTCTATGGCTATCACCCTTTGTGCCTGATATCAGATAGGCCAATCTTGGGGGTACCATTTTCATAACACTACTAGCTTCTTCTAATGAACTTGTCAATTCAGGCTCAATGAAATAGCCACTAGAATCCTCCTGTTTTGCAAAGGAGATGGCATCAAATGGCAATGGCTCATCACTTTGCGAAGGAAAAAACAGCCCAAAAGCGGCTGTTAGAAGCAGAGTAACTGAGATGAACAGACTAGCAAAGAAGGGGACAATCCATTTTCTATCACTAAACATCCTTCCTGAATGAGAATTGAAATTCTTCCTCATCCATGGCGGATTTAACAGCCCACCCACATTCGATTTACGCCCAATCATTCCAGATAAAGCTCTTAAACACAGATTGAAACCCCACAAAGCCCACTTCTCAGCAAAAACTTCAAGAACTGACTAGAATCACAGCTTCTAAAGAAAGAAAATCATTCGGGTATGTTCAAAAATTGCTCAAGAACAATCAAAACAAGCTCAAAAACGAAACCCATTTCATATAAACAGCGATCTGGCCAGAAATCAAAGAGAAGTAACTCAGAGTAAATGAATGCAATCAACTCAAAAACAACACATAACAGCGCATGCTCCGAACAAACCCAGATCTAAATCGATTGAAGTAAACTAAAGGGAGAGAGCCATGGAAGCAATCGAACTGAGAGCTTCACAGAGCTCAAAAAGAACAGGAAAAACAAAAGAAACCCTTACTGGGTATTGCCCGAATGAATCAAAAACGGCGAAAAGAAAGAGAAGAGAAGGGGATTTTGCAGAAATGAAATGAAATGAAGAAAGGGAAAGTTAGGGCAAGAGAGAAGAGAGAGGAATCGGGGAAGGAGATGACCGTACAGAAATGGCCGATTGAGAGGATTTGGTTTTGCTTCAAATGTTGGCATAAAGAAATTGAAGCATTCAAAACACAAAGGGAAATTTCATTTTTGTTGCTAATACTCAGAATTGCCTGATATTTTCTCTTCCACGCGCTACATTTAAGCGCGTGTATTTCACGCACTAATAAACTAATATTTAAATTGTTTAATTCCTATTTAGGTTTTACCTCAAAAAAAAAAAAAAAAAAAAATTTTTTTTTACTCCCTAAATTATTATTTTTATTTTATTTAACTTTTTGAATTTAGTTAATTAATGGAAAGATCGTGTATATATCAGGGTAAAAAGGGGTAGAGAAGATACTTCGAGTGAATGTTCGAGTACCAGACGCTACAACATTGAAGTAACCCAGATTATACTCCCTGGAAAAGCTCAAATGACCCATTTTATAGTGCGATAGTTAGCAATTCACGAACCAACTATACCTACACCTACCTTTTCTAGACAAAAATATGGATACGTCCCCTTCGTTTGATATGAAAAATAGAGATTCAATCTGTCCCTTAACCTACAACTAATGAAAAATTATTTTCTTAAGTTTCTTAAGGTTAAATTTATATATTTTAGTCCCTTATATTTTAGTATGTTTTTAATTTAGTCCCCGTGCCTTAATATTTTTCAATTTAGTCCTCCGTCGTCGAAAAATATTAAAATTAGTCGAGATTGAACTTTTGAAGCTCTAAATTCAAAGATAATAAATACATGTCAATTATCGTTGAGTTACGCTCACTCTGACATTAATAATAAAATCTTTTAATACAGCAATAAATAAATATATAAATCGGTAGAAAATTTTTTTATTTTATTTTGGAAATTATTTAATCTTATTGGAAATTATTTAATATTATTGGTATTTGCCATTGACCTATAAAATTATTTTATTTAATGTTCCCATTTGTGGTGAGGGGCGTTTTTGTAATTTGTAAATTGAAGTATTTAAAGTTCTTCACGCGCTCAGTCGAAACTGGTTTTTGTTGGGTCCCAAAAGATTTTTAAGACACCGAAAGGTTCAGATGCACTAAAAAAAAAAACACAAACATTAATGGAAAGATTTTTTTATTGATTTTATTTATTTATTTAAATATATATTTAATTGGGTGTCGGCTGCCCTTTTGAGCTCTTAATATATTTTATTAAAAAAAATATATCAATTTTTGTTTTTTTTTTCACTAAAAAATACTTTCATTTTATCCCGATTCTAATTAGGATAATACACACGACCGTCCTGTAATAGTAACAATAAAAATGGCTCGAAGAAAAAGAATGTGACCTATAAGAACAAGAAAAATTGCACGTCAGTAGGATACTTGTCACGACCTTCGTGTTAGGGATTTTTTACGCTTCACTTGCAAATTTGGTTAAATGTGAATTAGATTAATTGAACGAGAAAGTCACGAGTAATGAGCATGCATGACACGTGCTCCCTCGAGAGGTAGGTTATAGGCTGAGTCCGAGAATTATGGGTTTGGACAAAGATAAAAACTAGCTTTGTTCGGTTGAATGGAATCTGTTTTGTATTTGTTTTTATTTCCCTTTATATGATGTAAGACTCTCCGTTCCACGTCAGAGCAAGTTAGTTGTTACTTATTGACCTATACGACGATTAGGGTTTTAACATCTGTTTAACCTTCGATCGATAGGGTTTCCTTCGTGGGATATGAGTATTTTTTTCTCTCACGTCATCCACCATCGATACTTTTTTCTTGCTAGGGTCTCGAACAAGCTGTTCTTCTTGAATCATCCCAGAAAGGGTTTGATTGTTTAGCATCTCTAGAACGCGAGTTAAGTTCGGATCTATTTCACTCCTTTTCTTGAGCTCTACCATTTCCTCCTCTCGTCTTCCTTTTTGAGGATGAGGTCGACAAGGTGCGACTTCCAGCATTTTTCATAGGTGACAATCTTCATCTTAATCATGTTGTCTTGCAATATCTCAAGTTAACTAGAAAACAGACAATCCTCGAGAAATTCTTATCAATTTTAGATTAGGGTTCCAGACATGAGAATGCAAGAGCCGAAATCAAACAAAACGTCCAAAAACGAAAGAAAATGCTTCATGGGGAACTCGTTTCATGTCGGCGTATTCGTGCTGGTTAGACGTCGGCCATGGAATCCATCATACACTGTTCTCCTCAATTTCCTTTTGAAAAACAAGGACAACGGCCCCGAACACGCCAAACCGTGAGAAGTAAAAGAATGTGAGTTAGCTAAGTTCTTTAGAACGTTCTGAAAAGTGAGATATAAAAGTCGCAAAAACAGCTCAAAGAAGGGAAATTTGAACCAAACCCATTCCTCGTCTCTAATGAGACTCATCATCAAACGCCATTGCCGTAGTTTCACCTCTCAAAATCTAAAGAATTCGACACACCCACCAACAAAACAGTCTCAAATTCTCCAATTTTGCGGCTCAGGCCTACTCTACGATGCTCTACACACCCTAAACTCCCTCGATTCCTTCGATTCCACCACCAACAAATCCATTCTCTACGCTTCTCTCCTGCAAACCTGCACCAAGGTTGCTTCCTTCAGCCATGGCCGTCAAATTCATGCCCATGTTCTTAAATCTGGCCTTGAAGCTGACCGGTTTGTTGGGAATAGCTTACTTTCTCTTTACTTTAAATTGGGTTCTGATGTCCGGCTGACTCGAAGAGTATTCGATGGTCTTTTTGTGAAGGATGTGGTGTCCTGGACGTCCATGATTACGAGCTATGTTCGAGAAGGTAAACCTGGTAATGCGATTGAATTGTTTTGGGATATGTTGGATTTAGGGATTGAGCCTAATGGGTTTACTTTATCGGCTGTGATCAAGGCGTGTTCTGAGATTGGGAATTTGGTACTTGGTCGATGCTTTCATGGGTTAGTTGTTAGGCATGGATTCAATTCAAATCATGTCATTGTGAGTTCTTTGATAGACATGTACGGGAGAAACTTTGCTTCGAGCGATGCACGCCAGCTGTTCGATGAAATGCCTGAACCAGATGCAATATGTTGGACCTCTGTTATTTCAGCTCTTACAAGGAATGATTTGTATGAGGATGCATTGGGTTTCTTTTATTTGATGCTAAGAACTTATAGTTTGTCTCCTGATGGTTTTACATTTGGTTCTGTATTGACTGCCTGTGCTAATTTGGGGAGATTGAGGCAAGGTGAAGAAGTTCATGCTAAGGTGATTGTGCATGGACTTGGTGGGAATGTGGTGGTCGAGAGTAGTCTGGTCGATATGTATGGGAAATGTGGAGCGGTTGAGAAGTCTCAACGCGTGTTCGATAGGATGTCGAAGAGGAACTCGGTTTCGTGGTCTGCATTGCTTGGAGTATATTGCCAAAACGGAGACTTCGAAAAGGTTATAAATATCTTTAGGGGAATGGAGAAGATCGACCTCTACAGTTTCGGAACGGTTATTCGTGCGTGTGCTGGGTTAGCAGCTGTAACTCAAGGGAAGGAGGTTCACTGTCAGTATGTAAGAAAGGGTGGATGGAGAGATGTCATTGTGGAATCAGCTCTAGTCGACTTATACGCGAAATGTGGTTGTATTGATTTTGCATATCGAATCTTTGAGCAGATGCCAACAAGAAACTTGATCACGTGGAACTCGATGATTCGTGGGTTCGCTCAGAATGGAAGAAGTGGGATTTCTATTGAGATATTTGAAGAGATGATTAAGGAAGGGATTAAGCCTGATTATATCAGTTTTATTGGTGTTCTTTTTGCTTGTAGTCATACAGGTTTGGTCGATCAAGGGCGACATTACTTCGTTCGAATGACCGAGGAATATGGAATCAAACCAGGAATCGAGCATTATAATTGTATGGTTGATCTTCTCGGCCGAGCTGGGCTGCTAGAAGAAGCTGAAAATTTGATCGAAAACGCAGACTTCAGAAACGATTCGTCTCTTTGGCAGGTTCTTCTAGGGGCTTGTACTACCTCTACAAACTCTGGTACTGCAGAACGCATCGCCAAGAAAATGATGGAGCTTGAACCTCAACACCATTTAAGCTATGTTCTCCTGGCTAACGTGTACAGAGCAGTAGGCCGATGGGACGACGCGTTGACGATCAGGAAGTTGATGAAAAGCCGTCAGGTGAAGAAGGTGCCTGGTCAGAGCTGGATGTAGAGGGCAAAACATCAAGGTTATGAGCCTCATATCAAACCCGAATTCAAGGCCGATGATGGCTTGGCATTGATTATCAAAATATGGGGTCAGCTATTGTTTTCTTGCTCGTCCCAAGATGGAGAACAGCCATGAGAAGTCAGCCACTAAACATATCGAGAGCGTACCGACCTGGTCGAAAAGGTTATTTAGACGTTATTAACGGGGATTATTGAAAGTTCGTGAATTTTCCAGGGAGACTATCAGTTGCAATTTTCAGTTAATTAGACTGGAGAAGGAGATCTAACTACTTGCCAGCATTAACATCATGAGATTGAGTCTTTTATTTTGATTTTTCTCTTCATTTCCCTTCAGGAAAAGCTAACTTATTTATTTGTTACATGTGTTTCTTACAAATTTTTAAAGCTCTATTTATATATCAATAAATTGTAGTGGAATGATATTGTTTCTATAACATCCTAGCGACGGCGTCGCTGACTATCACCGTTAGCCTCACGATTTTAAAACGTCCGTTAGGGAGAGGTTTTCCCACTCATATAAAGAATGTTTCGTTTCCTCTTCAATTAATGCGGAATCTCGCAATCCACCCTCCTTGGGATCAGTGTCTTCACTAGCACACCGCCCGATATCTAATTTTGATACCATTTATAACAGTCCAAGCCCATCACTAATAGATATTGTCCGCTTTGGCCCGTTACATATCACCATTAGTCTCACAGTTTGAAAACATATCTATTAGGGAGAGATTTCCAAACATATCTATTAGGGAGAGGTTTCCACGCTAGTACAAAGAATGGTTTAGGGATAATGTCCGATCCGAATCATGGGGCTAACAGCATTAAATTCACTTCAAAGGGATTAAGAAAACTGGAAAAAAAAAAATACTTGTCATGCTTGCTAAATTTTATATGGTTTTTGGTTAAGACAATCTTTAATCAATTAATAAGAAAAATAACACGAAAAAGCAACTTTACTATATGAAAACTGTTGATGAAAACGAAGGTGGTCAAAAAAATGGATTTTTCTTACACACACACACGCACACACTCTTCAAGTGGGGGGTGGGGGATGGAGTTGATCTTTGAGACTTTTCACAGCAGCGAAAAACCAGTTTGAATGTTCATATCAAAAAGCTGCCCTCAGGGTTCCCATGGCGGCTTCATGTTTCATTTCTGCAGCCATACCGCTCCCTCGGAAGTACATGTATACTTGCTGCAAATTGGATGCATAAAGTTTTTCAGTGGGAATCAAAACAAACCGAATGCAAACGAAGAAGATGTTGAGGATTATTGGGAGTGAGTCCCACGTTAGTTAATTTAGTGGAAGATCATGGGTTTATAAGTGAGGAATACTATCTCCATTGGTGCGAGGCCTTTTGGGAGAAGCTCAAAGCAAAGCCATGAGAGCTTATGCTCAAAGTGGACAATATCATACCATTCTGGAGAGTCGTGATTCCCAACATAGTATCAGAGCCATGCCTTAAACTTAACCATGTCAATAGAATCCTCAAGTGTCGAACAAAGAATTGTGAGCCTCGAAGGTGTAGTCAAAAGTGACTAAAGTGTCGAACAAAGGGTGTACCTTGTTCGAGGGCTCAAGAGAAAGGAGTTAAGCCTCGATTAAGGGGAGGCTATTCGAGAGCTCCATAAGCCTCAAGGGAGGCTTATAGTGTATACTTTATTCGAGGGGAGGATTATTGAGAGTGAGTCCCACATTGGTTAATTTAGTGGGAGATCATGAGTTTATAAGTGAGGAATACTATCTCCATTGGTACGAGACCTTTTGGGGGAAGCCCAAAGCAAAGTCATGAGAGCTTATGCTCAAAGTGAACAATATCGTACCATTGTGGAGAGTCGTGACTCCCCACCGAATATGGGTACATTTCTTTATGGAATACAAACCTGGATAACCCATATGCTGATTAGTGATTCAATGCAGAAGAATGCAAACCCAATGAAGTAGAATATCTGTGAGAAGTGTCATTACTCATTAACTAGTTTTCGGACAAATCATTATATAAACTGAAAGAAAAATCACTATGCTCAGACGAAAAGAATATCGAATAATAAGTAACATGGTTTACTTGTGTAGAATGGATATGTGACAGTATGAACATTCATCTACTTAAAAAGACCAATCTCACTTAAACCTAGAGTCAAGAGGTTAAAAATATGGCCAACTCATTTACTACCTAAAGTTTGACTAGCGTGTTCAACACGGATATATGTTGAACACTTTAATACTCAGACACTTGTTTGACACGTATCCAATACTTACTAACATAACAGATATGATATTAGACACTAATCGTTAAAATCAAATAAGTCTAATAATAATAAAGGTGGAAAATAATAAATTTTGAGATTGAAAATACAACCATTTATTTTATCAATCATATAAATGCATATAATTGACTATAAATTTCATCTTGAAAAATATTTTTATCATTTCTTACGTCCCATCTCGCTAGAATGCTAGGTTATAATTTAGAACACCTATATATTGGATAATCTTACAAAATATGTGACATTTCAAAACACACACAGAAATGCAAACTCGAATAGAACCTACCCCAACCAAAGCATTAGAACTCAACAAGTCTATAGCAGGTAAGATCCCTCTGAAAAAAACACCAAACAACATTAACTTCTCTCAAGAAAATAAAGAGAAAATATTAGTTATTCAACAAGTATAAACCTCTACTTTTATACAAAGACATCAAAACTTACGTAAGAGATTTCCCCTTAAATATAATGGGAGGAGCAACTGCAGAAAAGACGCAGAAGCTAATATGAATCTGGAAGAAGAAATTTATTAACTTGGGTAAAAAGTAAAACATCTTCAAAGTTGGAAAAGTAACTGCAATGAAGTTGAAAGGTTACCGAGTAAACTAGGAAAAACCACCCGAACTTCAGAGCACTATCAGTCCTGTTTATGTTAATAAGCTAACTTGTCAAACGTGTCGCCATAATGGATAATTCGACCGAACCAACATACAGAAGAACACTGAAATTCAAGAGCTAAATTTCTACGAGTCATACTTAAATCAATTTACAAGCTCAGCAACACAAGAACGGACTGGAAGTGTACTTTTCCCCAAATAAATTTATTAAATACTACCTATTCATCAACTCTATATCAATTGAGAAGGTTCATCACTTTCTACAAACAAATGTTCCTTCTCTCAGAGAAACAGTATGCTTTCACTTAGTATATATCTTAAGATATCTTCACATCAGTTATTCTTATCACATGATACAGGTTCTTGCAGCTCCCTCGACTCATATAAGCGTAATACTAATATCTCCAATGAACAAAACCCGGGAAGTATAATTAACCATTAGGGCTGGCCGGCTGGGATTTGGGGGATTCTTCTTTCAAGGTAAAGAAGGAAAAAAACGTACTTCCATTAAGTTATACCTTGTAGCACGATAGAGAGGACGATACCACCCGACATATGCTCCAGGTACACCTGATATGAGGTAGATAATAGCAAGAAACCATATTGTTGGACCTACATGAGTAATAACTATTAGTAACAGATCATGGAACACAACATATTTCAGAGGACATGGGCATATGAAGAAGATTATAAACTTACCTTCACCATTGATCCAAGCAGTAGTAACTGCTATAATGTTCCACGAAAGGCACACAACCAAACCTAGACAATAAATAAATTTAATACAATGATGTACATCAAACCATCATAACTGATTCACGTGGAACAGAAGGAAACTACATACGATTAAGCAACATAATTCCCATTATAAAGAAAAGTAAATCATTCCAGGAAAGATGGAAAGTGCCATGCATTTGGAGTTCTCTCCTTTGGTGTATAGTGAGAACTGAGGAGGGGAGGGGAGGGGAGCTCCAGGATGGTGTAGCGTAGAGAGGGGGGCAGAATGATAAATGTCGGCATGCCTTTCATCTACCGGTCAACTAGAGACACTAGTAGACTATTCCTTTTCACTATTGAATCATTGGAAAAATGATTCCTTCACCCACCAATTTAAAAAACCAATAAATCAATACTGCCAAACAGTACTAAAATTTTTGCTTCCATTACAGAATAGCTAGAAATGATCAGTTAAAAAACTTCAGAACTACCTATTTTGAGGAAACCAAGCCTAATGGTGGTTATAAGGATCATATTAAAAGTTGTTAAAGGTTAGCCGCTAGAATTTGACAAAAACAAAAGATCATGGTCTACAAGATACTATTGTTAAGCTAACAGACTTCGATGGCCCAGAACTAGTTCACATGTCACACAGAAACCTGAACTATATATACATCCACGTGAAGGGAAAAAAAAATTGCATTCAGATAGAATGAACAATATAAAAAAACCACAATATTGGGAAGCGGCTTGATAAATCATGACATCACCATGATTAAGGTTTTATTTGCCGTTTAAACTACAACTTAACGTTACCATCATCTAATGTTAGCCAAACTATCGTGAAAAACCTGGAAGCAGATAGCATTTGGACTTTCATACAAGAACGTAACTTTCATGATTGAGCATCACGTCCACTCACCCAACAATGTTGTGAAGGCAACATACTGGACGTTCTGTAGATGGATCGGTATTTCATTTGCAATATCATTATGGATAAGGGGAAAAAATGGTGGCCAATTTTTCTCCTCTATAACAATTCCAGCTGCCAAAATTAATTGAAAAGTTTCAGATTAGAGAGGGAAGAGTTATGATTCGCTTTCTTCTGATACAACCAAACAATTATGCATACCTCTTGCAATAGCATCTTCCCTCCGTTTTAATTCCTAAGCATTTACAAAGGGCAGAGTCATTTAGAAAGAAGTATTTCTTTAAAGCACAAGGGATCAGCTAACTCATACTAGTCTTACAACAATCAAACGCAAATTAGAAAATATAGAATAAGAGTTCAAACAATTAATGCATGGAACAAGAAAACGCAGAGTATATTCTTCAAACAAATGATTGGATGAGAAAGAATGGCCGAGAGTTATTTCGTAACTCATAGTTTTTATGGACCAATAATTATCATTTGTTAAGTAGCCAATTAGAACAAGCCAGAATTTGAATGCACTATTGACATAAAATGTGTCCTTTGGTTATAGGATTATATGATGCATCTACCGTGTGGTAAAGCAATTACCTGTTCCCTCTTCTTTAATTCAGCTTCTTTGGCTTGAAGCTCCTTCTCCTTAGCTTTCAAATCCTAAAAATTGAAAGGAATAGTGAAGAAAGTGAGATCCTATTTTTCTCTTGATAGTGCTTCAAATAGTAAAAACCCATAATAAACAAAACATTTAAAGGAATGCACTCCACCTTTGCAGTATCGAGAGGAATGTCAATCGTTGCACCACGATCGTAAGTTTCATGGGGAAGAGGTGAGAGCCTGGAGGGTGCGGGTTGAACACCTCCAGCTCCAGAATTCTAAACATAAG